CATGGGCCAGCATACCAATTCTCCACCAAAATGTTACTTAATCTAAATTTTACCAGGTTGAAAATACCAAGTATGCCAGGATAAGCAAATAAAGTTTCCGTGAAACAGCTTTTTCATCTGGCTTCGAAGTCAGAAGATACTTTACCAGGTTGGCCATCAAACCAGGTAACATCTAGACTAGCAGTTCTCAAAGTGTGGTCCAGAGTTTCCAAGACCTTTTCAGAGGGTCCAAGAGGCCAGAACTATTTTCAAACTAAGACATTATTTGCATTTTTTAGTCTTGTTCTCTCACAACTATACTATGGAGTTTTCCAGAGACTCTGATCTGTGATATCAACAGACTGAATGCAGGAGCAGACATGAGAATTTAGGTGTCTTCTGTGAAGACAGATATTAAAGATAGTTTCAAAAACATAAAACAATACCACTCTTCTCACTAATTTGGGTTTTTTTGTTTTTGGAAAATACAGATTTTGTTTTCATTAAAAAGGTTAACATATAATGATTTATTATTTTTAAATGAAATAGTTAAAATTTCTCATTTTATTCTAATACAATATCAATACATAACACTTAGAAGCTCTCTGAGGTCCTTAATAATTTTTAAGTGTCTAAAAGATGTACTGACACCAAAAAGATTGAAAATTACTTTTCTAGACTTTCCTATATTTGTTTTACCACACAATTAAAATTTTAATTTTCTAACTATCTACTAAAAAAATGTTGCTGCCCTAAAGATAATTTCAGAAGTTTGTCTTGATGAGACCAAAAAAAGTCTACAATCTTAAAAAAGAGCTGTGTCCACTAATTTAAAAAGAAATTATTTATTATATTTCCCAAAATAAAAACAATAACAATGTCAAAACTAAAGTGCTAAGCTAACAGGTCACTGTCTACAAGCTTTGTGAATGAATGTATGATCAGTCATGTATGGGAAATCTTCCAATCTGTCCTAAGGCAAAGGTAGGACTCTTTGAGAGGTCTATCCAGCAACTGCTTTGCTATGGAACAATCCCGATATCCAAATTCACAGCAGGTCTAACCAAGATGCTTATAGGTAATTATCTCTACCACAATCTTAACATTTCTAAAATAAAAAGTTTTATGTTTCATCTAAACAGTTCAGTATTTCAGGGCCAGACTGTCACTCACTTGGGAGAGTATGGTGCTGATAACACCAAGGTCGCGGGTTCAGATCCCTATATAGGGATGGCCAGTTAGCTCACCTGGGAGAGCGTGGTGCTGACAACACCAAGTCAAGGGTTAAGATCCCCTTATCAGTCATCTTTTAAAAAAAATAAAAAATAAAAATACAGTTCAGTATTTCTACTGCTGTCAAGAAATACATAAACATTAAGACTTAAACCCCCATTTGGATTCAGTTCCCACATTGTTGGTAAGTGACAATAGACCTAGCAATCCATGCATTTATTACAAACCTTCAGGATGCACAGTAATAATAGTTATTGAAAAGTTAGGCTAGAGGGAAACACCTCTGAAAAATGGTTTTTGAGGCTACTGGAAGCAATAATAGGTAATGATTTTGCATTTATGGTTCAGTCTAAAATTAATATGAAAAAATACTGACACGGTTACAGTTAAGAGCCCTAAGGCAACAAATGTCTAATTGAAAAGTTATATAACCCTAGGCCACTGCAATAGCCAAGGAATGAAGTGACCAAGGACCTTAAGTAGAAAAGCACCCAAAGGCTAGAAAGAAACAGTACTCCTTAGTTATTTATTAATTCAACACATCTTGATTAAATTGTCTACTATCTGCAAGACACTAAGCAAGCTAAGAAGCTCATAACCAGGTAAGAAGACAATTCCATAGGGGGAAGTATACATAAGTAAATGCAGTAGCTACTTTTGACAGAATGGAAGAAATTCCACCTGAGAAATCCTAGAAGAGGGAGGGAAAAGGAAGGAGGGAAGATTTCTAACAAAAGGGATCAGGGAACATATACTCTGGTAAAGAAGGCATCTGACCTGGGTCCTAAACATATGAAGTTACTTCAAAAAGTTCATGGAAAGATTCATATTATCTTTCAATTTTATTTTTCCATGAACTTTTTAAAGTACCTTCATATATAAGATTTCAACAGGTGACCATTGGGAGTGAAAGGCAACCCAAGAAGAGGAAAAAAACATACATTCAAGGTACAGCAAATACAAAATAGCTTCCATTGACTTCATGATGGACTCCAGGAGGATAGACTCCAGGAAAATGGACTGGAAAATGAGGTTGGAAGCAAAAATAAAGGGACTTATATGACAGGGCAAGCAACCAGTGGCTTTTTTTTAGTAGGTAGTGAAGCCATTGGAAGGTTTTTATAGCCAATAGAAGATTTATCATTGGAAGGTAAATCTTCAGATGATACTTTAACATTACTAAGGATTGGACAGTAGAAACGGAAGAACAGTAGGTGCACTATCACACAAATACAGGCAGGAAATAATAATAGCTTGATCTGGGGTGGGAAGGTAAGGAAAAGACAGACACAAAACATACTGTGACCAAAAAAAAAAAAAATACTGTAACCACTTCACTAATGATTTAATTATAGTTTTAAATGCTTCAAAAACTTAATTTATCACCCAAATCAAGGCTGACATTCACATTATTTCCATTAAAGACCATTCACTTCATAAGCAATGTTGCAGCATACTCAAGTGTGCTTCCTTTTTAAAAAGCTGTTAGAATAACTAGGCTTATTCTACATTAAGGCTATGAAATGGATAATAACATTTCATGTTACTATGGATGATAATATTTTCAATATGTTCTGAATAGAATCTCAGTATGTGCAATCTCATTCAAGGATAAGCATTTTAAACTTGAAAGTTTATTTCCATGGAAAATAACAAAGTTTGGATCAGAATTTTCTATACAACCTTATAAGACCCACACCTCTACATAATTATAATAATCAACTTTTCTTAAAATTATTTTTGAACCACTTGACTCCACTTGGCCTATATTTTTCTACTAAGCCGATATTTTTCAACCATTAGTGCCTTCTTCATTTCTCCCCTCCTCCCTACTCATCTCCCTGCCCAACAAACTCCCTTTGTATGTCTGCAAGGTAAGATACTATCGATACAGTTATGATTCTAAGGCAGTTTGAGTATATAATTCTCATAATAACAGAAATCTAGAATTATCAACCTTACTTTTTGCAAGAGAGGAACCAGTGATGTATTAAATTTCCACTCACATGAGTGACAAATGTACTTAATAGGAGTGATGCTTTACCATTAGGGGGAAACAAAGGGGGAAACACACACAATAGATGGGTGGCAAATCTTACAAACTTTACAGAACACAGAAAAGCTGCATCTGGATTGTGGTCACAATTATAAAAGCAAACAAAGAAGGCTCTAAAATGAAGGAAAATAAAAAATTCTAAGTGATCATTAAGAATGAAAAAGGTTTACTCAGTATTAGTTTTTCATATAGCATCATTTAACACGATGACTAATTTTAAAAAAAGAGGATAATTCACTGTTCACAAGGACATGGGAAACAATTTCTACATACCTTCTATAAGACAGTTATACTTCAATACACTTGCATGAGCTCAAATCCTTTCAAATGTTTCCAAAACTACATAGTCTTCATAATAAGCAAGGTTCCCCAATGACACACAATATATTCTGTAGGCTTAGCTATAATACATTTTTAAGAGACATAACGAATTCATCCTCACAAAAACTGGGAATCACAAAGGCCCTCTACTTATTCAAAATCATTACATAAAGCACTGTCTGTAATTGGAAACGGGGTTTGAAAATCTGACAGCCAATAATCATAAAATGGGGCAGACTTTAAAGAAAAAAAAAAAAACTTTTCCATTTTCCCTTCCTTTTCCTTTCCTACCAGATACAGAAAATGTGTGTAATGGCCTCAGACAAAGCTCTAAAATAAAAAGACAGTATATGTATACTTCACATTGTGTGTATAGAAACCTATCACATATATGTACATATCACATGTTCACTGCAGACAGGAAGGTTCCTCTTTTTTTACACAAAGAATTTAATTACATTAAATCCCATCCTATAAATTAAATTAAATCATCACAAATTAAAGAGTAGTAAAATACTGCACATAGAACTCACTGAACGACTGTATTCTGAAAAACCTGAGACTAAGGCCATGACTGAATAAGAACGCCCGATCCCTGAAAATCACTAACCGGCATTTGGTTTCTATAAGAGCAAAGGGGAGTCTTAAAATGAATAATCACATAGGCAACTCAGTTTCAGAAGTTAAACAAGGTAAAACCGAACGAACCAAATCAGACAAATGTATGGAATGACAAGCTTTAAAGAATTCCCCCAAAGAGACCAACTTCAAGAGTATGATATAAAACATCCCTTGCAAGTAGAAGAGTCTTTAATTGGGGGGGGGGGGGGTTAGGAAAGTAGAGGGCACGAAAAAAACCTAACCAA